TTTTTTTCAACAAAAAGGAAGAAGAAGAAGACAACCAAAACAAAGCATCTGTCATTTGAGCTGGCTCCTCTCTCTTGGGTTACAACTATCTGCTTCTGGTCAAAACCAATTCTTGAGTAATCATATGGCACTGAGAATCACTGCTCGACCAACGGTAAAGTATTACTGCAATACTAGTTTATATCCCAATTTCCAAAAATCTTTTTTTTTTGTAGCTTTGTCCCAGGTTATGAATTTAAGAAGACTTTTTACGCGATCGTATTACCTTCCGGCTGTAAACGGTAGAGTTCACATTTGTAATGAAATGTGTATGGCCACATGCGGTGTTACAGACAAAAAACTTCTAGTGTTGGCCAATAAACAGTTGAAAGGACTCGGAATTTCAGCTGATGATATGCGGGCTGAAAACAGCAGCCGTAGAAGCATATCTAATGATCAACGAAATCATATAATAGACCACATTAAATCCTTTCCTTCTTATACCTCTCACTATAGCCGAGAGAAAACTTCACGCTTATATTTAAGCAGTGATTTGAACGTGATGAAGATGTACAATTTGTACAAAGCTAAATGTGCTAAGGATAACATGCATCTTGTGCACTTCAACACTTATCGATTACTATTCCACTCTATGAAGCTGGCGTTCAGGAAACCGAAGGCAGATACTTGTTGCCTGTGCGACAAACTAGCTGTCCTACTAAAGCAAGCAGGAACATGTACCTCTTACTACCATAAAGAGCAACAACCATTAATGATGATCAAAACACCTACGGGGTTAAAACATCTACGGACAGATCGACGGACTCGTGTGACGGAAGTTCTTGAACCGACTAGCACTGAGGGTACCGATTCTGATCCTAACACACTATCACGACGACCGTTCTCAAGCTATGAATAACTTTTAGAAAGTGACTACAAACAACAGAGTTGTCATTGAAACACCGTTACACGGGCGGAACCTAACGATTGAAATCACGAACGAGACCATTTAGGCACGAAAACCCGATCTAGTCAACATCACGATCGAGTGATTTGTAAAAATGTAAATATTAGTCGGTTAGTTAGTCTAATTCCCTATCATTTAATCGTAGTATTAGTACTTATTCTATATTAATCAATATTGGAGTCACTCACGGTTTCCTAACGGGCCTTGGGTGAATCTTTCCTTCCGTCAGAGGAAAGAGATACATCATGTAAATAGTCCAGGTTACTTCGTTGCGAAAGAGCCAAATTGTTGTTGTAAATATCCTAAAAATAGAAAAATTTAGTTTTTGGTATTTATTTACTTACTTTATTTAATATTCTCTGTTTTTTGTAGTCAACTTCGTAGATTAGCGATGAATCCGTTTCGTTTCTCAATATTGCTCGTCCTAATCCCTTTTCCGTTCCAATGTAGTTGTCCAGTGACGTAGACTACTGCGTCTATCCAATTAGACCCATCGTAGTTTTCCAATTAGAAATCCCAGTCGGTGCATTTTTTTTTTTGTTGAAGAGTTGTTCCGTCCCGAGAATGCACTGAATGTTTTCTGTTGTGTACCAATGAGAGATAGTTTGGTTGATGTCTTTTGAGGTTTCATGTTACTTCGCGTTCGTTTTGTAGTTTTTGGAATTTGATGTTTATTGGGTAGTCAGCCCGAATCTGACTAATTTTCTGGCAACTCTGGAATTGGAAGCGTTTCAGTACAAACGGGGACGATTAGGGCTAGGCCGGTGATGATAACCCCCGTTCACGTGTTCCTAGTCTTTGGCCGATTGTTGGAGTTTGATTTGCGTAAGTCTTATAGGAATTAGGGATATCTTGCGCGTCTTACGTGAAGTACGCCGAACGCGTGTTAGTCAGCCAGTTAGCTTCCTACCCGAAATTCGGGAAACTTGATCCTCTCCCTAGGAAGGTCTCAAAGCCGGGCAAGCTACCAACTGTTGGATGGTCTCCTTTAGGAGTGGCGCTTAAGCCATCCTTCTTTAAAAAGGGAAGCTCGACGGGCTGTCGCGTTACATTTGGCCGATAAGGAGGCGATTCAACGCACACGAGATGACCACCACGCGGTGGCTCAAACAGCTTATACGAGTAAGAAGGTCGATGTTTTGGCTGCAAAAACCAGTAGGAAGGTTTCCTTCGATCTTCAGAAATGCCTGCCGACATCACATTTGCTGTGTGGCACGGCATTTTACAAAAGGCAGTTGTATACCCTTAATCTGACTGTGTACACTACCTGGAATGGTGAAAATTCAGTTGAGTGCTATTTGTGGAACGAAGCGAGAAGAGGATCACAAGAGATATCATCTTGTTTCCTGAAGGATTTATCAAATACAGACCAAAGAGTTAAAGTAATTAACTGCTACTCCAACCGTTGTACAGGACAAAATCACAACATAGTGATGTGCATGATGTTCTCAAATTTTATCGAAAAATGTAGCACTGAACAACGACAGCTGACAATCTGTCATAAATTTAGGACATCCGGACATAGTCATATGGAGGTGGACTCGGCCCATGCTTGTATTGAGAAGGCAAACAAGCGATGCACTACTAATATAGAGACGCCGAGGGATTGGGCTGTCTTTAAATCGTCCATTCAACGGAGAGTGGCCTTCCAGGTCACCGAAATGGAGTAAAACGAATTTTTGGGATTCAAACATGAATAATTGTCTGCTGAAGAATATAAGAGATTCGATATGACTAATCAATTATCATACAGCTGTCTCATACACTGCATGTGTGTGTTTTGCGTCTTTTGTAAGGATGTGCAAAATAATTGACAACAGACAAAAGGGCACTCAGCGTGGATTTATCTCTCAGTAGGGTACATGACCCTAAACTGGATCCAATTCGAATTCCCATTTAACAACCCCTCGAGGAAAACCGTTCCGCCATAATTTAACAGATGGCAGCAGCGTTTCCGTGGAACTGGTGGCATCTATCTACGCCAATCGTCATCACCGATATAAACAATCCTGAAGTACGAATAACATGTTCAACTCTGTTTCTGCTCCATTCCTCAAACAGCGCATTAGTCGAAATCGGTTTCGTTCACATCTTTCCAAAGATAGCAAGCTATTTGATAAGAAATCGATTAGTGATTGCTGCCAGACTGTGCCAGTGCTAGTCTCAAGTCAAAAAGGTTACCATATTGTCTGTGTGATATTACTAGTGTTAAGATATGCATTTTCTACTGCTCCTCCTAGCCGCAATTGTACTGCTGTTCAAATGGATCTACACGCACTTCCGCACGAGATACCGCTTCTGGAAGGAGCACAATGTTCCGCATCTGGAGCCACGGTTTCCGGTGGGAAACGCAGGAGACACTCTCAAGTCGACGATTCACTTTGCACATATCATGGATAATTTGTACCGGCAGCTGAAGAAGTACGGTGACTATGCTGGGATCTATTTCTTTCGAGATCCAGTGCTGGTTGTGCTGTCACCGGAATTTGCCAAAACTGTGCTGGTGAAGGATTTCAACTACTTTATGGATCGAGGTGTGTATAGCAACGAGAAGGATGATCCATTGTCGGCGAACTTGTTCTTTATGGAGGGCCATCGATGGAGGAAGCTGAGGGCGAAGCTAACTCCGACGTTTACGACGGGGAAACTCAAGGCGATGTTTCATACAATTCTGGCCGTAGGGGAACATTTTGATGCGTTCCTAAATGATTACACAGCGAAGAAGGATGAGGTGGAGATTAAGGACCTGCTGGCGAGGTTCACGACGGACATCATTGGATCGTGTGCGTTTGGAATCGATTGTAATAGTTTGGAGAATCCGAATTCAAAGTTTCGAGAGATGGGAAAAAGGATGATAAATTTCCCGAAGTTGAAGGCATTGAAGATCTTCTTTGCGATGATGTTCCGGAAGCAGGCAAGATGGTTGGGCATTAGGTTCAACGATGAAGACGTTTCGGAGTTTTTCTTTGGAGTCGTAAGGGAAACGATTCGATATCGGGAGGAAAATGGTGTTCAGAGGAAGGATTTTATGCAGCTGCTGATAGAGTTGAAGAACAAGGGATACATGGAAGGCGACAGTGAAGGGTTGGTCGAAGAAGTGGGAAATGGTCGTTTGGAAAAGCTGACGTTCGAAGAGATTGCTGCTCAGGCGTTCGTATTCTTTTTTGCTGGATTTGAAACGTCTGCCACTACTATGACATTTGCTCTGCATCTGCTGGCATCGAACCAGGAAGCACAGGAGCAAGGTAGGAAATGTGTGACCGAGGTTTTAGATAGGCACGATGGAAAATTCTCGTACGAGGCTTTGTTGGAGATGAACTACATCGACTGCATAATCCAAGGTGAGTTCGTCTGAAGTCAGTTACAATAAGATCATGTCATCACTTTTTTTTTTGTAGAAACCCTAAGGATCTACCCTCCGGTAGCGACAATTCATAGAATGACCACAAAGCCTTACAAACTACCAAATGGTTCCGTTCTTCCGGAGGGTATCGGTGTTGTCATTCCAAACTTGGCCTTTCATCGTGATCCTGAGCTTTTCCCTGAACCAATGCAATTCCGTCCGGAACGATTCTTCGAAGCGGAGAAAGAAAAGCGGCATAATTTCAGTCATCTTCCATTCGGCGAGGGACCTCGCGTTTGCATTGGAATGCGATTCGGTTTGCTACAAACGAGAATGGGCATTGCAATGCTGTTGAAGAACTTCCACTTCCGATTGTGTTCGAAATCGGATGTTCCTTTAAAAACTGATCCGGTTAACTTGATCTACGGACCAGCCGGGGACGTTTGGTTGGGTATTGAGAAAATCCAATAAGAAGCCGCCTATTATGTCATGCGTTTGTTTGTAAACATACTGCCGAAAAGCCTTGAAATTACTAATACGATGAAACGGGATGCTTCACACACACACTGTTGCATTTTAAATGAATTCTTTTTGATGAACTCATTCATTTGACCGGAATTCATGGTAGCACTTAACTGTTCTACTAAACATTAGATTGATCTTCTTTTTCCTTGATCCATTCACAATCAGTTTAGTCTCCTATCGTAACAGATGCAATTTGACTCGTTCCCAATGTGGATCTACTTGTTGATATCAACCACCGTGCTTCTAACGCTTTTCGTTCGAAGAAAATATTCCTATTGGAAACGCCATGCGGTCCCGTTCATCCAGCCACGTTTTCCCTTTGGCAGCATCACGCCCGTTGGTGATCGCGTCCATTCGTCCCAGCTGATGGCCCGATTCTACAACCAACTGAAAGGAACCCATCCCTTCGCTGGGATGTACTTCTTCACCAGTCCGGTTGTTTTGGCCCTGGACCTCGACTTCATCAAAAACGTACTCGTGCGTGACTTCCAGTACTTCCACGATCGAGGTCTGTATCACAACGAAAAAGACGATCCCTTGACGTGCCATCTGTTCAACATCGAGGGATCCAAGTGGACCAATCTTCGCAGGAAGCTGCTTCCGACCTTCTCGTCCGGCAAGATGAAAATGATGTGTCCAACGATCCTCGGTATTGCCGATCGGTTCCGAACGTCCGTTGAGAAGTGTCTGGCTCAGCAAACGGAAATTGAAATGAGGGACTTCCTGGCACGGTTCACCACCGATGTGATTGGAACCTGTGCCTTCGGAATCGACTGCAACAGTTTGGAGAATCCTGATGCCGAGTTTCTCAAAATGGGCAACAAGATATTCGAGGTTCCAACTAGTCGGATTGTCGCATATTTTTTCGTCTCTACGTTTAAAGAGTTGGCGAGAAAGTTGCACATCAAGGCAGTTCCCGCAGATGTTTCGGAATTTTTCTACAAGATCGTCCGGGAAACTATCGATTTCCGGCAGGCAAGTGGTGTTCAACGGAATGATTTCATGAATTTGCTAATGCAATTGAAGGAAAAGGGTGAACTGGAAGGTTCAGATGAGAAGCTGGGAACGTTGACGCTGGATGAAGTGGTCGCACAGGCGTACGTGTTCTTCTTGGGGGGATATGAGACTTCCAGTACGAACATGTCCTTTTGCGTGTATGAGCTAGCGTTGAATGAGGAGATTCAGAGCCGAGCGAGGGAATGTGTTCAACAGGCCGTTGCCAAACATGGTGGGCTAAACTACGAAGCTCTGATGGATATGCCATACCTGGAGCAGTGTATTTTTGGTGAGTCAATTTACCGCAAATCAGGAAGTGGTTTTCATTCATTCTCGTTTTCAGAGGCCCTCCGCAAATATCCACCAATCGCAAATCTGTTCCGAAGCGTCACCCAAGACTACCAAGTTCCGGACTCAAACGTGATTCTTCCGAAAGGCATGAACATCTGGGTACCAGTGTACGGCATTCATCACGACGCAGAGTTCTTTCCAGATCCGGAACGGTTTGATCCCAACCGGTTCAGCCCGGAAGAATGTGAGAGCAGGAAACCGTTCACGTATATGCCCTTCGGCGAAGGACCGAGGACTTGCATTGCCACTCGATTTGGGATGATGGAAACGAAAACCGGACTGGCAACGCTGTTGATGAATTTTAAATTTTCGAAATCTGTCCGCCTGGAGGTTCCGCCCAGGTTTTCACCCAAGCATGTGATGTTGACCCCGGTTGGGGGGCTGTGGCTGAAGGTGCGAAAATTGGATCAGTGAATCGTCGTTCCTAGGGTTTATTGTTTTACACTCATTTCTATTTTTGTGCGATTTTATTTTTTCGAATGTGCCCTCATGCAGGATGGGTTCAGTAATTTTACTACCACCATATTTTTCTTTGATTTTATTTGTGATTTTTGAAATCAAGATGCATTACATTTGGTTGCAATCTGAGTTTACACGATCATTACTAAAGGCGAAAAAAAAATCGCGTATAAACAGAATTGAGTGTATGTGAATAAATTAAAAATATATATGTGACCTTGAAATAATATACCATTAATAAACATGAGCTTGGAATTCCCTTGATCAACGCGCTAATCAAAACAAATAAATTAGTCAACATCCCAGTCAAAACAATCCCTTGGCATGAAACTATGCGTCTCATGTTGATAATTTTGTCTAAATTTCAAATCAAACAGTATGATGGTGTAACAGTTAACTATTACATTTTGCATAAAAAAAAGTTAGATCTCTTCAGGTTTCACAAAAGCATAAAAAAGTTAAGTCCGGAGCACTACACTCATAAAATTCATCTAATTTTTATTACAAATTTATGAGCATCCATTAATTACGTCTCTCCGGCCTTTGGTCATTTTCCTCCTAAATCTCTTGGATTGCTAATCAAAGACAGGATTTTAAACCCCCACTCCCCTCTGAGAGCGTGTTGTACTTAATGGATCACCCCTTGGGCCATGTCAAATTGAGCATTCTGAACTAGTAATGAGAGGGTGGAGGAAAAAACTCCCACCAAGGAGGGGCCCCCCTAGGGGCGAACTAAAACAGTTTTAATCTAATAGATTTGGAACGAAATTCATTACAATTACATTTAATCTACTATGGAATCAGGGAGGTCCGAAGAGAAAATGTTATACAATATAGGCCCAAGAATGCTACCCTGAGGAAATCCTGATCTAACAGGTAGTCGTTTTGATTTGGAATTTTGATAATTTACCTGCAGAGTTCTGTCAGTTAAATAATTTTGAACTAATTTCGTAATAGTTATAAAGTGGAAAATCAAACTTTTTCAATTTAGCAATCAAACCTTCATGCCAAACACTGTCGAATGCTTTTTGTATGTCTAGAAGAGCAACTCTAGTTGAGTGGCCTTCAGATTTGTTTGAACGAATTAAATTGGTAACTCTTAAGAGTTGATGAGTAGTTGAATGCCCATGGCGAAATCCAAACTGATCATCTGCATAAATTGAGTTCGTATTGATGTGACGCATCATTCTATTTAAAATTATCTTTTTCAAAAAGTTTACTTATTGAAGAAAGCAAACTTATTGGACGGTAGCTAGAAGCTTCAGCTGGATTTTTATCCGGCTTCAAAATTGGAACAACTTTTGCACTTTTCCCTTTATCAGGAAAGTATGCCAAATGGAAACAGCTGTTAAATAATTTTACCAAGAAAGACAAGGTACTCTCTGGGAGTTTTTGATGAGGATATAGAAAATTCCATCATCACCTGTAGCTTTCATATTTTTTAGTCATAGATATTAATTCGTCCAAAGCAGTCCCCAGGAATTATGAAAAATATTTCCCGAGAAAAAATGTTCAGCAACCTGACCCAAACTGAAATTATGGGATCTCTTGAATTGCTTAGCAAGTTTCTGAGCATTTTCAGAATTTGTGATCAAAAGTTTACCACCTTCTGCGCTGGAATAGGATTTTCGGGTTTTTTTTTCAAAAATTTTGTGTGCCTCCAAAAGGGTTTGGAACTTGGGTCTAATTTCGAAACATTATTTGTTCCTCAGGACAGAGAATCGCTATTTTATTTGTTTTTCAAAATCTCGTCAGATAAATTGCATGGCAGGATCGCGTGTTCTTTGATATTGCCTCCTACGGACATTTTTCAGACGGATCAAGAGCTGAAGATCATCCTCTATTATAATTGAATCGAATTTAACCTCGCATTTCGGTACTGAGGCAGCTCTTGCTTCAACTATAGAAGTAGTCAGAGATTCAAGAGCATAATTAATTTCATCTTTGGTTTGCAAAGGAATGTTTGGACCAAAGCTATATTTCATAAATGTTCGATATTGCTCCCAATCAGCTCTATGGTAATTGAAAGTAGAGCTGTTGGGATTAGAAACTATTTCTTGGGATATTTCAAAAGCTACTGGAAGATGATCAGAACCGAATCCATGCTGACAACCAATTGGCTACAAAGTTGACATGAATCAGTTAAGATCAAATCAATAGTTGAGGGATTTCTTGTAGAAGAAAAGCATGTTGGGCTGTTTGAATATTGAATAGTGAACCTGCAGAATAATCATCAAACATAATATTACCATTAGAATTTCTTAGAGCATTATTCCATGAGCGGTGTTTTGCATTAAAATCACCAATAATGAAGAATTTCGACCCATGATGGGTAAGTATCTGAAGGTCATCCTTGCGAAAATTCTTTTGCTGGCCTACACATTGGAATGGCAAATAGGCAGCTTTAAACATAAGTTGTCCAAATTTGGTTTCGACTGAAACTCTCAAAATTTTAAAAACTTTGGTATCTAACAAAAAATAATTTCTCTATGAACAATGATGGCAACGCCACCAAAGGCTCCATCATGACGAGCATTTCGATAAATGAATAATTTGCGTCCCTTTAACCTTATGGTCAGAGTTAAGGAACGTTTCAATATGCAATATACACGTTATGAACTCTCAAAAAGTTAAATAGCTTGTCTTCATTATCTTTAAGAGATCAAGCATTCCAATTCATAATATTCAATGATTTAAAATCCATTAATAAATGTCAAAGTTGTTCGCAAATTTAACTCCATAAATAGCATCAAACGTGGAGTAAGTTTTAAACACATCAGTAATCATGTCATACTATGATTTCTGTAAAAATTCCATGTAAGGAGCAGTAATGCTTCCTAAGTCAAATTATCAAACTTTCCGTTAGAATCGTGTTGGCTAATATTTTGATTTCTACCCGTTGTAATAGCAGCAAAAGTAGCTCCATGTACTCACTGAACATTGTTAGCAGCGAGGAAAGCGAGTATAAAAATGAAATTTTGAAGCAGTGGTGATATTTGTACCTCCGATTACGAATGTAGAATTTGTTCCTCGCTGACCGTTGTTAACGGCAGAGGAATTTGTTTCTGGTCGGGAACGTGGAGTGTTTCCTACCTGTCGCTTAGAACGAGATTGTAGGATCGCTAAGAGAGTCTTTCATTCCCAAAAATTGGATTTGTGGTTTTCACCACAATTTGAACATTCAATTTTATTAGGATCTTCTTTCACAGGATATTCGTGCTTTGCGTGAGATGAATCACCACATGCATGCTGACATGTAGCATTTTTTTTTGGTTCCGTGATCCCATCCCTGGCATTGACGGCACTGAGTGAGGTTTTGTAAATGGAGCATAATGCTAGCTTATTCTAATGCCTTATGGGGTGTTTACACTTATGCTATTTCGCTAGCGCTAACGGAATTCGTGCTAGCTGGCGAGTACACTAGCGCGAGTAAATCCGCATGGATGTAAACACCTCATTAAGGTCTTTTAGTTCACTAGACTTGAAGTAAACTAAATAAAAATCATTGGAAATCCCGATGCCTGAATCGCCAGGATGGGATTTCATTTTCATTTTGATTATTTGGACAGGCTCAACTCCAAGAAATTTTGTCAGTTCTTCTTTGATCTGATTCAGGGATTCACCACTGGGCAGACCTTTCAAGACAACCTTGAACAGACGTCCAGTTTTGGTGTCATCAGTAAAAAAATGTGTGTTGCTTCTCAGCACATAACATATGTGGAACTTCATGCAAAACTGCTGACTAAAAGTTGACCCCTTTTTTGTAGAGTTGGTTGGAAATGCTAACATGAAGCTTTAGTGTGATAATTTATTAGCTAGAGAATGATCATTAGAAGAGAGTAGGTGGATAGTTCCGTTAGAGTACGGCAGTATGAAAATTGAATAGAAGTTGAAAATGAGCGAAGGGCCATTAATGCGACAGTTTTTAAAGTTAGACGCACATCTTTTGCCTAACCCGTACGATGTACGCGGAGACTTGAAGTATGTCTCCAAGTCTACAGGCAAAAAATGTGCGTCCTTTTTTGCTCATGTTAGGTACTGATCTAAACCTAAACTTATCTAATAGCTTAAAAGTAGAATTTGTTCCTAGAAGTAAATTGAATTTCTTGCATCTAACTTAACCTAGAGACATTATTTGCTGTCTACCTTACAAACTACGAAACAGATCTAATTTCTTATATACTAGTACCTACGAACTACGAACAAACCACACAATGCAAACATGCAAATACACCGATCGCGATTACACTACTCGATCCCGATCTTTTTCCTTTCAACACATACATACATGCAGAGCAGAAAGCAAAAGCAGTTTAAAACTGCGATCATTATGTACGTAGGTTAGTTGCCATCAAAGGTTCGGGAAATATAGACGTTCCAACGAGAAACGCTATTTTTCAAAGTGATCCGAAAGATTTTCTCTTGGTTGACAGAGGTCGGTGTCCGCCGTGTGGTTTTTGCTAAGTGCCGTTTTAGCAAGACACTTTGTCACTTCGGTTGTGTGGTCGAAGAAGGTTTTTCTACTAAGTCCCAAATTAACGGGGGACTTAGCCGTTGATGGTGAGAACTTGACCATATGTGCGTCGGCCGATCTTTAGTGAAAAAGAGGGCGAGCAACGATCAAGTTCTGGGTTAGGAAAACCCCATCGCCGCGTGTGTGGGAAGCGAACGCCTTCGTTCAATTCCATCGTGACGTTTTTTTGTTTCAACGTGCCGCAGATACGCTTTTGGGCCCAGAGGCCACCAGTGCCGTCAAGAAAGCCTGCGTATGTCCGGAAATTAGTGCGTGGCGCGTACATTGGTCCTTCGAGCCGGATACGTAGGACAATCCGGGGACCAGGAGTGTGTCAGTTTTGTGGCCACGTTGGCACGAAAAAGTGAGTGGCATTTTCGGCCATTGTGAATAGAACCTTCTCGACCCAAGCCAAGCCACACCGGGCTTTGTTGGGTGAAGGTGAACGAACGATTATTGTAGTGTGGCATCCCAGCCATTTTGGACGGCCTTTTCAAGTCCCAAACCACACCACGTTTGCCATTGTTGGTGGGTTGGGTGAAAAGAAGAATAGATAAAGGACTATTGTTCTTTGTCTTTGGGTGGCGTGCCCAAGCGACGCCATCGATAGAATTCCCACGCGGGGGAATTTCGCGTATTCGTGCGCTACGTTGAAAGTAAAGTGCATAGAACGTTCACCAACCTAGTGGCACCGAAAGTGATACGTGAAGAGCAATTGTACTCCAAAGTGCAATTTGCTAAAATTCATTACTGATAATCAGTGTATTGAAACTGCACTCCAAAGTGCAAGTGACAGTGTATGACAATTGCTGCACTCCAAAGTGCATCCGTGGACACTTGTTCGCTCGATCACTCGCGAAAGGTGCCATAAAAGTGAAGTGTTATCCTGGTGGTCCCACGTCCGCGTCGGGAAGGATTTGTTCGTTCCGTTCTCGCGTTCGCGATCCGCGTCGGGAAGGAGCAATTCGTTCGTTTCCGCGATCCGTGTCGGGAAGGAGTTTTTCGTATCGAATCGGGAAGGATATCACGTGCCGTCGCACCCACGTGTCGTCGCGTGTGCGAATCGTTTAACCCGTTAGGAAAGTCGTTCGTATAACGACATCGCCGGAAGCATGGCCACCAGGAAGAAGCTTAAGGACCGATTAACGAACCGAAAATCGTTGATGTCGTCGTTCGAGGCAATGGAAAACTTCGTCGAGAATTATGATGAGGAGCGCGATATTCTGCAAGTGCCTGTACGCCTCGAAATGCTGAATCAGCTGTACCAAGACTTCATCAAGGTACAAGCTGATCTCGAACGTTTGGATAGTGGTGATGCGCCGTTAGCAAGGCACTTCCAAGAGCGCAATGAGGTAGAATCGCGGTACTGTGCAGTGAAAGGTTGGCTGATGAGCCAAATTGTGGCCGAACCGGCTCCTGTCAATGAGACCATCACTACCCCATCAACGTCAGCCAGCTTCCATCTGCGCCTCCCCAAAATCGACTTGCCAAAGTTTGACGGGGACTACTCTCGTTGGCTTGGATTCCGAGACACGTTCAAATCCATGGTCCACGATGTTCCAGAAATCCCACCGGTGGCGAAGTTACAATTCCTGTTGCAATCTTTGGAGAAAGATGCAAAGAAACCATATGAGACGGTGGACATCGAGGCAGGTAATTATGGACCAACTTGGGAAGCCCTCCTCAAACGATACGATGACCAGCGGTTCCTCAGAAAGCAGTTGTTCCGGGCCTTGTATGACCTGGCCCCCATTCGCAAGGAATCTCCGGAAGGTCTCCACACGCTAGTGGACGACTTTCAACGCCACGTCAAGGCATTGGCAAAAATGGGGGAAGCAGTCGACACCTGGGACACTCCACTGGTATGTATGCTTTCTTACAAGTTGGACTCTTCTACTTTTCGTGCCTGGGAAGAACATTCCTCAAAATTGGACCAAGTTACGTACGCCTTATGCGTCGAGTTCCTGTACCAACGAATCAGGATTCTCCAAACGGTCTCATCGGAGATGGAGCATCGTTACACATCGGTCAAGGTGGCCGGTGTCAGCCCGTTCAAGAAGCCCCAGCAATCGAGGTCGGTTGCCAATACCGCGGTTGCTAGCCCACGATCCAATCCCCTATCGTGCATCTCCTGCTCCGAAAAACATCTGTTGGTTCAGTGTCCAACTTTCCAAAGGCTCTCCGTTGGTCAACGGAGGGAACTCATTGCCCAGAAACGTCTTTGCTGGAACTGCTTCAAGTCATCCCATGTCGCTCGGAACTGCGACTCAAGGTTTTCCTGTCGCCTCTGTCACGAAAGACACCACACGCTGCTCCACCAACCTCAAGCATCACCATTCCCACAGAAAGGCAGTAGCACTCCAGTCGTTGAGCAACCAGCTTCCTCCTCCACGGTAAGGTCCGTGGAATCAAGTGTATCAGCGCATCCAGCCACCGAAGTGAGTATGCCAGCTCATGTTCGCTCGTCAAGCACAGCTTTCCTTTGCACGGTTGTTCTGACAGTCCTCGATGAATACGGAAACGAGCATGCCGCTCGAGCACTCATCGATTCCGGATCCCAATCCAACTTAATATCCAAGAAGCTGGCTCGTCGTCTGAATCTGAAACCAGAACGAACCAATATCCTTATCAGTGGTGTTGGGGAGTCGATGACCACGGTGTCACAGCTAGTCTATGCAACTATCCGCTCACGAGACGAGTATTACACTAGTGAATTGGAGTTCCTAGTGCTTCCAAACCTAACCACCAAGCTTCCAGGCAGAGACGTAAACATTTCGGATTGGTGCATTCCCAAGTCAGTCGAGCTTGCCGATCCTAACTTCAACATTTCTAGTAGCATCGACATGATATTGGGAGCTGACCAATTCCATGAATACCTGATGAGTGGTAGGATCCACCTCAACCGTGGCTCACCGACGCTAATCGAAACAATCTTTGGTTGGGCAGTGTCGGGTCGTTGGTATAATAATACTGCACGGGTTCCTCTACACTGTTGTACCGCAACTACCACCCACAACCTGGAAACACTAATGGAGAAGTTCTGGGAGATTGAGTCCATCACTACCGGTCGAATTTACTCGGCAGAAGAAGTCGCTTGTGATGAACTGTACCAAGCTACTACGACCAGAAACGCAGACGGGAGGTATGTAGTCGCTCTTCCAAAATCTCAGAATCCCCATATTCAACTCGGCGAATCCCGTGCCATCGCCGAAAGACGTCTGCGAAGTCTGGAACGCAGGCTTGAGAGGGACGAAGCTGTCAAGGTAGCCTACCACGCGTTTATGGACGAGTACCTACGACTTGGCCACATGCGACGTTTAGAAGATCCGGTAGATGATTCCCTGATGCACTACTACTTGCCACATCACCCTGTTTTTAAGGCCAGCAGCACTACGACAAAGGTACGGGTTGTATTCGATGCCTCCTGCCGCACATCATCCGGCAATTCCTTGAACGACATTCTCCTCGTTGGCCCAGTCGTGCAAGAGGATCTCCAGTCCATCGAAATGCGCTTCCGGACGAAACCTGTTGGAGTCGTGGCGGATGTGGAGAAAATGTACCGGCAGATTGGAGTTGTACGCATCGACCGATCGCTCATCCGAATTCTCTTCAGAAAAAAACCAACAGATCCAATCTCCACGTTCGAGCTTCAGACCGTTACATATGGTACATCCTCTGCACCATTCCTCGCCACTCGAACCCTAGTCCAACTCGCAAACGATGAAGGTGAGAATTTCCCGATGGCGAAGAAGGCCGTGTTAGAAGACTTTTACGTCGACGACCTCATCAGCGGTGCCGAAACCCCAGAAGAAGCCATGGAACTTCGTCGCCAGCTCAGTGAAATGCTACATTCCGCCGGTTTTCCATTGAGGAAATGGGCCTCCAATAGCTCAGCCGTCCTGACCGAAATTCCTTCGGACGAACTAGCAATCCAACCGTTTTACGAGTTCTCCGATGAACAGTCGGTGACCACCCTCGGGCTGATCTGGGAACCGAAGTCCGATACACTGCGATTCCGAATCCAGCTTCCAATTCCTGCTACCGTGCTCACCAGACGAAACGTCCTTTCGTATATCGCGCAGATCTACGACCCACTGGGCCTCGCTGGTCCGGTTATCTCAATCGCCAAGCAGTTCATGCAACGCCTGTGGGCGTTGACGACCAACGACGGGAAGACTTACGCTTGGGATGATCCACTTCCACCAAGACTCCAAACCGAATGGAAAACGTTCCATGATCAGCTGAATCTCTTGAGTAACGTACGAATTCCCCGATTTGTCTCGGTGGCCGGTGCAACCAACAACCAACTACACTTCTTTTCGGATGCTTCCGAGAAGGCTTACGGTGCATGTGTATACATGCGCTCCGAAGATAAACATCAGAACATTTATGTCCATTTGCTGGCAGCAAAGTCAAGAGTCACGCCTTTGAAGACTCGCCATTCCATTGCGCGCTTAGAACTCTGCGCGGCGGTTTTGTCTACGGAACTCTTCCAAAAGGTAATTGCTTCCCTAAAATCAGACTGTCCTGTATTCTTTTGGGTAGATTCCACGACGGTGCTGCAGTGGTTAAAGTCATCACCGGCCTGCTGGAAGGTATTCGTGGGCAATCGAGTCTCAAAAATCCAACAAGCTACGGTGGGACATCCATGGAATCACGTCGCTGGGTCCGACAATCCGGCCGATGACATCTCGCGTGGCCTTACTCCGGCTGATCTTCTCCACTGCGAACGCTGGTGGACCGGACCAACATGGTTGAAACTTCCGTCGGACCTGTGGCCAAACCAATCCATCGGAGGCGATAATACTTCAACAACCGTCGCTGAAGAACGCAAGATTTGTCTAGTAGCCAACGCAGCACAATCCAACGAGTTCTCCGAATTCTTATTTGGTCGCTTCTCGGCATACTCCAAGCTACGCCGAATTGTCGTTTATGTTTCCCGCTACCTGCGTGCACTGCACGCATCAGCCGCAAGCAACCATCCAAATGGTGCTTGTGCAGTCTCATCGAAGCCTATGGTACAACCCGCCGCATTCCTCACAGCGTCGGAACTACGGGAGGCCGAAATCGCCTTATGTCGCCTGGCTCAGCGCGATACGTTCTCTGGAGAAGTGGCAGCTCTACGAAACGGTATACTAGTTGATAAATCTTCGTCGATGAAATGGCTCAACCCGATCATTAGCATAAACGACGTCATTCGGGTCGGTGGACGACTCGAAAACTCCAAGGCTGCTGAAGATACCAAACACCCAATCATCATTTCCGGCAAGCATCCGCTGGCCACGCTACTGGTCAACCACTACCATCGATTGCTACTGCATGCCGGACCCCAGCTGATGATGTGCACCATTCGTCAAAAATTCTGGATTCTCGGAGGTCGGAATCTCCTTCGTCAGGTGTATCACCAATGTCACACCTGCTTCCGACGAAAGCCAACTCTCGTGCAACAATCAACAGCCGATTTACCAACCTCACGAGTAACTCCATCCCGTCCGTTCTCTGTATCGGGAGTGGACTACTGCGGTCCAATTTACCTCAAAGGAGCACACCGCAAGGCTGGACCAGTGAAGGCATACATCGCTATTTTTGTATGTTTCTCCACCCGAGCGGTCCACATAGAACTTGTTCACGATCTTTCGACGGCGGCATTCCTTGCTGCACTCCGAAGATTTGTTGCTCGTCGCGGTATGGTCTCAGAGTTGCATTCTGATAACGCGACCAACTACAAGGGAGCTGCAAACGAGCTCAACCAAGTGTACCGAATGCTCAAGACAAACGAACAGGACCGCAAGCTTATCTTCAACTGGTGCACCAACAGCAACATCGAGTGGAAGTTCATACCACCCCGCGCGCCCCACTTTGGTGGACTATGGGAGGCGGCGGTAAAATCGACGAAAAATCATCTGTTGAAAGAATTAGGCACAACAACAGCCACCCAGGACGAAATAATAACTCTACTCGCTCAGGTAGAAATGTGCCTGAATTCCAGGCCAATTACCCAGATGTCACCCGATCCAGCCGATTTGGAAGCACTCACTCCAGGTCACTTCTTGGTCGGCTCCAATCTTCAAGCGATTCCCGAGTGCGACGTCAAACCAACACCGGACAACAGGCTGTCACGATGGCAGTTAGTGCAAAAACGAGTCCAGCAGATTTGGAGAAGGTGGTACCCCGAATATCTCCAACAACTTCAAGCCCGCTCCGCCAAAGGCTGTCGATTGCCCGTTAACATCGAAGTTGGTCGTTTAGTCATCATAAAAGACGATAACCTCCCTCCGGCACAGTGGCCACTGGGCCGCATCACGAAACTCCATCCTGGGCAGGACGGAATAGTACGAGTCGTCACACTCCGGACGGCGACCACCGACAGTGTTACCCGGCCAGTCGCCAAAATCGCTCTTCTTCCGATGCCATCCGACGACACCGAGATCGATAAAGGTAAAAACTGATGTATCAAACTAATCAATCTAGTTTCTTTTCCGGTTACGATAATCGTCTGCATTCTACGCACACCAACCTTCAAGATACCAGGATGTCCAATACCCTCTGCAAAGGGCACACGGTGCATCTACGCCAGCAGAATGATTTAGAATTAGGTTCGTTAAAATGGGCTATTTTAAGGTGGCCGGAATGTTAGGTACTGATCTAAACCTAAACTTATCTAATAGCTTAAAAGTAGAATTTGTTCCTAGAAGTAAATTGAATTTCTTGCATCTAACTTAACCTAGAGACATTATTTGCTGTCTACCTTACAAACTACGAAACAGATCTAATTTCTTATATACTAGTACCTACGAACTACGAACAAACCACACAATGCAAACATGCAAATACACCGATCGCGATTACACTACTCGATCCCGATCTTTTTCCTTTCAACACATACATACATGCAGAGCAGAAAGCAAAAGCAGTTTAAAACTGCGATCATTATGTACGTAGGTTAGTTGCCATCAAAGGTTCGGGAAATATAGACGTTCCAACGAGAAACGCTATTTTTCAAAGTGATCCGAAAGATTTTCTCTTGGTTGACAGAGGTCGGTGTCCGCCGTGTGGTTTTTGCTAAGTGCCGTTTTAGCAAGACACTTTGTCACTTCGGTTGTGTGGTCGAAGAAGGTTTTTCTACTAAGTCCCAAATTAACGGGGGACTTAGCCGTTGATGGTGAGAACTTGACCATATGTGCGTCGGCCGATCTTTAGTGAAAAAGAGGGCGAGCAACGATCAAGTTCTGGGTTAGGAAAACCCCATCGCCGCGTGTGTGGGAAGCGAACGCCTTCGTTCAATTCCATCGTGACGTTTTTTTGTTTCAACGTGCCGCAGATACGCTTTTGGGCCCAGAGGCCACCAGTGCCGTCAAGAAAGCCTGCGTATGTCCGGAAATTAGTGCGTGGCGCGTACAGCTCATAAACTGACTGCGGCTGTGGAATAGTTCTAGCGACGTTTTCATCACTACCTAAAGCCCCACGTTGCGAGAGCATTTCCAGTCGATGGTGTGTTATAATGCAATTCTTCTCTTACCCAACTATTGTGTTGCTCCTCTCGTCATGATCCTTTTTTGTGTTTCCTCACTGGTATAACTGGTATAGTTGGACATCGATCTGACAAAATTAAATTTTCGCGATTTGACACTGAGTCTTCATATGGGCCAATGTCGGAAACTTAAGCAATGGTTTCTTTCGTAAATATCTTGTGATTCAAAGTCAATCCATGTAACCCAGCAATTCTATCAGCTTGGGCACTTTCCCTACACACAAGCATCGTGGTGGCTTACTTGAGCGAGTTTTCATTCTCAGGAAATTCGTGAAAAGTCAGTGTTTACGTTTGTGAAATTGGCCCTTACGAAAGAAAATCATATATTTGGTTGCATGCTCAGTACACGCTGTTTGAAAACTACCCAAATTTGAGTAAAACTGAAATTGTCAAAACTGAATCGATCAAAAAATGGGTCAACTATGTTGGTAGTGGCAGGTTAACAATTGAACAACGTCGTTCGGATCCATGCCAATGTTGCTCATGTGTCAGCTTATCACTCCCAACATAGTTTACCCATTTTTGAGTAGGTTCAGTTATGATCGATCTGGGAAGATTCTACCCAGATTTGAGTAGTTTTGAAATAACGTGTAAGTATTGACGTTGACGGTGGCTTTTTAACTCTTTACTCCTATGGTAAAATCCCGAAGTCTAGCGGATTTTGTCTTATCCCTACACTCCATCATGGTACCAGCGAGCCACCGTCTCTTGTGTTTCGCTGTGAGATCCTTATTCTCGTAACCACTTCGAAACTTTAAGTGCAGAAATATCAGCTTCTACGATACCTACCACAATGAAACTGTTACTCCACTTACTGCAGCCTACATGAAGTAGCAATTTCAGGTGAAATTGGGCATTAATTTCCGAGATGTGTGTAATTGAAAATTCGAAGTGGATGTGAATTTATAGCCTACGTAGTGGCCATTTGTGGACTCTAAAAGGAATCACCTTAACAGGATCTTATGAGATTTTTCACTGGAGTGAAAGGGTAAAGTAATGTCTAACATGTTTCTCGCACAGACTGACGTTTGCTTATAGGATTTTACCATAGGAGTAAAGTGTTACAGAGTGACCGAAAAGGCTAGTTGTCAAAGTAATGCGGCCATTCGTTTTTAGACTAGCTCTAGGGAACAGAGGGCTTATGAAAGGATTTAGAAACATTCAATTTTACGTAATTGAGAAACATAGAAAGGGGTGAAACCTTGGGTATTACAGGTATCGATAAGCGCTCGATTTCGTTTGTCATCATTCTTGCAAAATTCTTGTGAATGGAAAGATGTAAGGTCAGCTCAAAACACTGTATATTTTCCACAATATCAAGAGATTCATACTTTGACTATATGTCATAGTATAACTTCTGCGTGAAGTCAACGATTTACATAGTTGAAGATGCTGATTTCAAATAACAGACTAAAGTGTTAATTTTTATTCGATAGATGAGGAGGAGATGAAAGTATAGAATTGATAGTTCCGGTTTAGAGTACGGCAGTGTGAAAATTGCACATAGAGAGTAGACAGCGAGCTAGGACAACTTTAGGAAGGTACAAATCGGTTTTATCATCTCACTTTACAAAACTCCCCTTTTGGAGAGGGATGGTGAGGGGTGTTAATAAAGAACGTTAGTTATTATGGCAATACAAATACATGAGTTCAAGAGCGCTAAAAAGACATAGAATTATAAATCACGTTAGAAATATTTTATTAGAATTGACTACCCCCTTGATTTCCTTTCTCAATTTACAGCTGGTATAATCAGTTTGACAGATCGATGTCCTACTATACCACTTGAAATCACTGAAATGGGGTCGACTTTATATGATCGAGTTGCACATATGTTATGTGTTCTCAGTAAGGTACTTGAGAAGACGTTTCAATCCGTCTAAGATTTCAGCCAACGCACGGCATTCACCCCGATGGCCAATTTGAAGCGAAACCTTAGATTGAAAGAAGCTCCAAAGTTCCTTGCGAAGAGCATGGAAATCGGAAGTGGTTACAACAGTAGGAGGTAGGAGGAACCTTTTCCTTTTTGGCATTAAGTCCGGAATGTTTAATGGATAATGCATTTCTGAACAGTTCCAGTTGACGTTGCTGCCAATTCCTTTCAGCTCTGTTCCCTTTCACTCTGATCCTTTCCTCCACTTAAGTTCCACCGACAGTTTTCAAATCTGATCCATCCTAAGCATCCTATTGCTCAACTAAGGTTCCATTTCTCCGTGCCCATTGGATTGAATCTCTATCGAATCCGTTGACAGAGTTCCGATATTGTACGTCATCCCTGGGTTCTTGAAAGACGCCAGTTACCTATAGATACTATAGATTCTATAGATAAATCGGAATGTAGAGTGTGGAAAGCGTTTTTTGCTCATAATATTAAAATACTTCTTCCTCAAACAACACAATGATGACGTCATGCTCGTTTGGCTACACTAACTGACAGTTCGTTTGGTTACATTACAGACCTTTTTGACGTTTAATCATCTTTCTCTATCTAGCACACATGCACAGGAGTGGAACTTTGGATCAGAAAGTGGCTCCACTTGTCATTTGCGAACACTAGCGCACCTAGCGGTAGAATGCATCTTCTGCCTGCAGTCAAGATAGGCAGCATGCTATGATAGTGTGAGAGCACATAGAAAGCCCGTGTGGAACGCTACCACAACACATCGCTTGTTGAGCAGAAAAACGAACACTTTTTGATTCACCGATTTGTTTGCACTTCTCCTTCTGTTCTGTGACACATGGATGAATCGACGGTTTGTTTTCCCACTAATCTGTTTCCCTCTTGCTCGCACTCGTTCGCTTTAAGGGGGTAATACCATAGAGGTAACTCTAAGACCACTGGGTCCCGAAGAAAATCATTATTATTTTTAGCTCACTCAGTACCAGAACAACGGTCCCAAGCAGTCCCAAGCTATTTCACTCACCCCTGCATGTTCTGCATGAATCCACACACCCCTGATGTTATCTGTCAAACTTTCATAGCGAATCAAAACAAACATAGTGTAGTAATAGAATTTCAACTAGAATAGGGTACGTTAATCGTTTGCTTGGGACCAATAGGCTACTAAAGTGGTGAGCCAATTTAAAATCGTTAGTTTCGTATTGATTGTTGGTAATACACTTTGAACGTTCAAAAAGTAAGGCATTTTCGTTAATTTTTTTTAAGCAATAAAACACTCAGGGAGGGCAAATATGTTATAACCCATTTATTAGTCATCCTTCGAACTACAATTTGTATTTTTTTGAACTCGATTGGCGTCTCCCCGTGGCCGGTGCACCAGGTCCCACGGGTGTCCTCGCGTGGAAGTCGGAAAACGGCGTGGGAAAATACTCCTTTCCATGTGATCCTGGAACATAAATCGAACAAAAATCCTGATTAGTAATAAAATTTGGGTTAGTAATACGTATTCCGAATTTTTTTTAAATTAATTTTTTCAAAAGTTGTGGCCTTAAGAAAAAAAGTCGATTTTTTCACCCTTAAAATGCTTACAAAATCGTGGATTAAAACTCCATTTTTGACAAAATCGAAAATGTGGATACGTATTTCAAAGCAGAATTTAATTCTGAACAAGAAAACCTAGGCGGTACCCAAATTTGATGATAACTGGTTATAGTTATTTTCCACGCCAGTTTGAAAAACCCTGTTTCGAGATAAACGCGTTTAGAGATAAAAATGCTCTCTCAGCGCGCCGGTACATGTTTTAGGAAATCGCTTCGTAAAGCGGTAAGGAATATTCTGGCGGACTTAGAGTCTTTTCTAAATTAAAGTATACATCCCAAGGAACATTTTAAGCCAAAAAATGCATTTTTTTTTGAAAAATCAAAGTGTATTCCCCCCTTAAATGGTACAGTATTGTGCGCCGATTAAACGTCAAAAAGCTCTATACTTTGCCTCCGCTTATCTATGGAATCTGCTTT